ACAAAAGTAAAATGTCTTCTTGGAGTTGAAGTTACTGTAGTTTCTTTCATGTGTAATTATGTAAAGTCAGAATATTATTTTCCGATAACAACACGTATTTTCCTCCGTTTTTATATTGTCTCTGGACTTTTATTTGGATATTGTTTGTATTTTCGTCGTTTTTCTTCTTGGTCTTGGTTTTGTCTGTTTTTCTTCCACTCATGATTTTTATTGTCTCTTTAGTTTCTTTTGTCTCTTTGAAAGAGGGTTCACAATATGTTAGTATATTTGACAAATGATATCGACAAAAAAACTCAAAAATGGACAAAAACCACTAATAAAAAAAAACGAAAAAAGCGACAAAGACTGACGAGATTAAAGATTTTGATCAGTCACATAAACATGTGACAGTCTGAATCTTGGTTTTATATTTCCCAAACCAAATTACAGTAAAATGTTTGCCCTAGAAGCAACACTTCACATCATTGATGTACATTGTACTTATTCTTATATAAATAAATGCAATTTAATGAACATGAGATAGTATTATATTATAAATTGGAATTAAGTCATTTTCTCCAAGGATGTTTCATTATAAATATTTATAATAATAAACGTTCTGGTCAATTCCCTGTGTAATACGAATTGATATGACCATCTCTAATTGAATCTCTATGACATAGTCGGTTTGATGAATTTTTCAGTGTTTGTCAATTAGATGATGATTTAGAATGTAATAGGTGAACTTCTAACATATGTTTCCAAATCCGCAGACTTTTCTATTTTAGATCTAAAAAATCTCTATTTTAAGTGTTTTGTCGTTTCTTCTTTCTATTCATAGTGTGCATGAATGTACCCGTAGTATTAATACGTGTTTTACTTATAGTTGGAACTTATCTCAAATAGTGTGACAACTGCGCGTTCATCTGTCCGTATTCATTGTTAAACCACTAGCGCATATAATTATAAAGCTGTTTAATATCCTGTATATTTTTATGTGTGGTCGCCTCCTATAAGGTATATCGCTCTGAGGCCTCCCAAAATACTAAAGGATTAAGATATTTGTGCAAGTTAATAACATTTTTTGAAATGAAAATCCATGTGATATACCAATTTCGAACAACCAATGACTAGAGCCAGCAGAATTTCGTTGTAATAAAAGAGAATGAATTGTGTATACCGTATGATTTACTATAGGACACAATTATAGAATTTCATGTTTAGGATGTACTTAGGTGAAATTAAAAATAAATAGAATTTAAAATTGATACTATAAGTCAGAAGAACATTAGTTAAGGAACAAAATAAGCTAAAACTATTGATAGGTTATCGAACTCCTTTTTGAGATATTTGATTTTTTTAAAATGGCGGGGAAAGGCTGACTTGGACTTTTACCTTATATTTGCATTGGTATTATTTGGGTCTCAAATCGAAAGAAAAGAAATCTAGAGTCTGCTTAAATTTTGGTAAATGACCTTTTATAAGCTATTAAAGTTTCATATGAAAAGAAAAATGAGTGTTATGGGGCAAAATATGTTACCCTGTATCGTAGGAAAAAAACCAAGGAGTCCGAACATCTGACAAAAATTCCTAAACCTGTCCTATGTACATCCTTAAATATTCGTGTTTGGTTGTTTTTTTTCTATAATAGACATGCTTATCTGTTGTTACGTTTGATAATTGTAATAGAACAGGAAAAGACTACCACTTTGATGATATATCACATAATTTGCTAAACACGAACTGTAACAAAATAAAACTGTTAAAGTATTTCAAGGTACTTAGGGTTAACTTTACATTAGATCAGGAACTATACATAACTTGTCAAATCTGTGATCACTTTTTCTGATCTTCATTAATATATAAACCAAAGAAGAGCTTGTTATCTTATTATGAAATTTGTAGTGGTATAGCCACCGTGCATATAGTTTACTAAGAACTTGTAGAATTGATTGTGTTACATGGAAATGTGTAGTGCGTAGTTTTATTAACTTGTTTTTGTGACTGCAAGGATGACGCGTTTACAACACAACAATTATCAAAATGAACGTCATCTTATATTTAATTGTGACCATCATTACTGCAAATAATAAAATCATGGAAAACGGAAATCATGCATCATGAATGTTTGGCATAAAAAAGATGGCGTACATATTGATACACAATAATAGGTCAACAACTAGTCGTAAAAATAAATTACCAGCATTATTCTATATACAGACGTCCGTACAGAGTTTCGCTATGTTTACTTTACTGTTTATAATATTAATTCCATTTTTCATTGCTTTGTTCTATTTTATTCGCCAGGCTACGCCTTCATTATTATTTTTATTATGGCTCTTTTTATATTTCATATAATTGATGAAAAACGAAAGTGTATAAGCCCCGCCTCCTACTTTCTAACAAGTGGAAAGAGACTATCATGTTCCTCATCATTCGTCACGTCTCAGTCATTACAACTGAACGGACGTGCTGGGTCAGCTCTCCTTTACCCGCTATCTTCGATGAGGGTTTACTGTTGGATGGATCAACGACTTACTACTTTCGATGACAGAAACCAATCCAACGCTGTACAGACTACGTTAGGCTATAATCCGCGTAGGGCTAATTCCCGCGTCAACATACACTCCAAAACCCATTATGGATGGGGGAATGGTATGCCGAGTGGCGTCCGAGGGCTGTATCCTAGGTGTTAGATGATGGACCACCATTTCACTGTCTCACGACTTTGGTCCTGATAATGCTTCCTGTCATCGTTAATACTACGTCCGAGACTCATCTACCAGTACTCCATCATCGAGGTTAGCGGGCTGCCAAGCTGACCAATCTGGCCCTGAAAGCAGCCGTTGTGAAGAACATCAAAATAGTCAACAAAAGAAAAACCAAAACAACTCACAAAACCAAGATGGCGGCCTACCAAAATGGCGTCCTCCACCTGTTCCTGACCGATGGCACAAAATTATTTAAACGCTCACCAAACGCCTTCGGGCACCGAGCCGACCGTGCGAGGGATGTATATCCAGTCAAGGTCGTTAAACACTTCCATTTGTGATCATGTTCCTGACTAATATGAACATAATTAGTTGTCCTTTTCTTTTGATTTGGATACATACGGATCACAAATGAAACTCAATTTGTTGTTTTTTTTTTTACTTTTTTAGACGGTGACGTTCTTTTGGTCTCTCGTTATGGTGTTCATATTTCGCAATTATCTCGACATCTTTACGCTGAATCCGTTGGCATGTACGGATTGATGTTTTAGTCTCGGATAACATGGTATACTTATTAATTAAAAGTGGCCTCTGAACTAGTTTCCAGTAACTGCAAGTTCTCTTAGGCCAAAAGGACCGATCTGATGAGTCGGACCTCTTTTCGAAATTCTTTTCTCTTTTAAATTGTTTTACATTTTGTTAACCCGGATCTTTACAAGCTTACTGTGTGCTTTGGGTTTTGTTCATTGTTCAAGGCCAAACGGGAACCTGTTATTGTTCACATCCTTGGCGTCCTTTTGGTTGTTCCATTGGCAATCATACCACATCTCCCCAATTTTATATCAAACTCTTTTTTAACTTTGCTATTTCCCAATTATATTCAATGACTGTTTTATTATCTAATAATAAGTTAATATAATACATGTATTAGAAACGTCCTTAGTGCATATCCATACATTAAATTTTCAAACAACTTCGATAATTTTTAAAGTATGTTGTGTATATAGTATAATTAATTGGTAAATATATTTTTATATAAGCAAAAAAAAATGAAATGGAAAACAGATCGAGTTACAAAGTTGCTTTATATAGTCTGTTTAAATAATGAACTGTAATACAGGACGAACATAATTACTGGCCAGTGCCATGATAAGAAAAGGGTAACTAATATATATGTTTTTTTCAATGCAATCGAGACCATACAACTATTTTGAGTTACATTGATACGTGTAATGGGTAGTTTTATGACATTGTTTTTGTTATTGCAGTGAGAACGCCTTTACGACACAACAATACGAAAAAGAACTTCCGTCATATCTATAACTGTGACTGTAATTATCGCATATGATAAAATCATGGAACACGGAAACTTTGCTTCATGAATAATTTTTGACGTAAAACAAAAAGCGAACATATTGATATACAGTCTTCAGACAACAAGGAACAATCACTCGTAGACATAACAAAAGCTTCGTTCTATGTAAGGGGTTCACTATGTTTAGTTTAGAGTTTATTATTTTAAGTCTAATTTCATTGCTTTGTACTGTTTAGCTTTGCAATACTACTACGTCATAAGTGTTATATTGATGGGACTGTTTTACGTTTAAACGAAGAAGAAAAAACAAGTGTAAAAGCTTACCTACTTTCCTTTTACAAAAAGTAGAAAGTTAACGAGGTTAACCCTGTAAGCACAATCAGTCTCGCCCCTTTTGGAGTTCATCCAATTCCCTCGGGTTTTTTTATCTTGATTTGTATAGTGTTAAGGGATTTATGAGATTTGAACATCTGTAAACTACTATAGCCTCTAATCTTGTACCAAAGACTAAAAACACACATATGCAAACATTATTTAGTCAGAACAAAAATAAAACAGAATCAACTCCTTTTCTTCAACTTTCTTTTTTTCTCATTTCAATTGAATTCCCCTGCTATCATCGAAGATTACTGCGAAGTCATTCATGCATCTCCGTGCAGTAACTTCTTGAATAACTCTTAAATATATAGTTAGTGTTTCGCGTGTTTAGTCTATATATTGTTATTTTAGAAAAAAAAATAATAAAAAAGTGAATGGTATCGAGTTCCCAATCCCCTTTGCGTTCACATTTTATTAACAATATTTTAACTGATGGGAAAATGACAATTGAAACATTTTATTTTATTCCAATGAAACTGAGATCATTTGACTGTCAAATCAGATACAAATAAGGCGTGAAGGATTCTTATTGTAGGTGATAAACTTCTATAAATTTTCTATGAAATAGTAGATTGATTTTGGAAAATCCACAAGAGGAATCAGTCTGTTATTGGAAATCGACGTGTGATAATTGGACATCGTACTGTGACTGTGGGGTTTTAATGGCATTGCATACTTAAAAGATCCGGTCAACATTAAATTGCAATAGTTCTATAAGATCAATTAGCTTACAAGGTAAGAACTGAATTGTTACATTTGTTCAAAGTTAATTTTGAATTTCGCTCAATTGTCTGCTTTCTTGTTATTGAAATATTATTTCGGTTTGGGTTTTTTTTTAAATAATTAAGTAACATTTATTCGAATGCTTTAAATGCAACAAAATAGTTTGGTAACTTGATTTTATTTACAAAACATTGATTTAAAGTTATTTTTACTCTCAACATATGTTAGAGTTGTCACATCGTGTTATGTTAGAAGGAACTGTTTTACCTTAAATCAAAATATGTTATTAACCCTTTTTAAGTCTTTTTAAGTGTTTAAAATTTCACAAACCATTTACCAATGTGGTTCAAAAGTTCATCGGCAGAAGAAAAACTCACAAAATTGAAATAAAACCATATATACAACGCAGAAATCAAAATAGAAAGCTATTATCGGAAATGTTACAAATTAATGGAACTGTTTACGTGAAATTGACTAATTTACTTTCCGACATGATTATTACAGATAATTACTTTGCCATCTCGTGTAATATATTTATTATAAGGAAATTAAACCTTTATAATTTAGGGTGAATATGAATATGATAATAACAGTACCTGGTTTATATGTACATATGATCAACAATATCGAATCTTTATAAAGTTACAGAAATAAATTGCATTTCTGCATCAGTATTTGCTATTTCAGTAAAAATTCATACTTAATTTACCTTAATACCGTCACTTTGTTATTCTACCAGTGTTTACTTAGGTCTATATCGCTGCTGGTGGACTGTTCTTTCAGTGGTTAGTTCAGCACTTACATATATGTTAGATAAATTTCAATAAATCCACTCTGGATCAGTTTTGCAATTCTCACTAAAACTGAATTTCTCAGGTGTTTTGTTTTTATTTAATGAAGTTTTTCAGACTTTTGCTGTATATACATATTTTTCAGAAAAGCACGTTGAATGCAATGAATATTGACCATTTTCACAGTGTTAGAACTGTTAAAATATCATAATCAGGTCTATGAAAATTTTTGAATTACTCCTTACTCCTAAGAGGGGTAAAGCTAAGTTTATATAAATTTTATACATTATTTGTTATTTTTTTTTCCTGATTTTCAAGATGGACATAAATGCTCGACTGAACAATTGTCTAAACTGTAGTAATATCGAGCCACTAGAAATAGCTTTGAAACATTGGGCCTATATCAATAACATTCTTTAATTATTACTTTCCGTTTACTAATAAAAAATATATCACGAAACCGAAAATCTGGTATTGTACTATAAAAAGTTTATGTTAATATCATTTAAATCGCAAACAAATATAAAACGTGTCCATCATTTCATTCATTTTTCCTATTATTAAAACCATTTTGTCTTTTTGATTTCCCATTTTATGGAGTGGCAATATAGATAACATTTTTGCTACAGTAATGTTTCAACTGAAACCATTGTAGCATTGAAGTTGCAATGACCATACACGTTGTTTTTTTTCTGAACAAAAAAATATAACATTTATAGCAAAGTCAAGTGAATAGTGGGCTTGCTACATGCAAAGTATGTACTCTCGCAAGTCGGAGAAGATTTTCCGGCATAAATTGATATAAATGAATAGAATTGAAAGTGCAATTTCTTTTTTAGAAGGTGTTATGAAAAGTTATTCTCCAGTATTTCCAAAAAAAATCGATTTCTCGAGTAATCTTAAAAATATTTTGTGTTGTTTTCAATTTCTTTTAAAATAGCAATTACAATCTCAACTTTCGCTAAATAAAGTATTGCAGGAAGGACTTTAAAATTTATTTGATGGTAATTACATTTTTAGAAATACAGAAAGATTAGTTTGAATTAAATGTTCAAAAGTTTGAGGAAACTACTGAAAAAAGAATGAAAAGAAGCTAGAAATATCCTTTAACTTCACGTTCCACTATATAAATGATGTCCTCTCACGAAATATTTCAAAGTTTAGTGACTATGTTAAACGCATCTATTCAATCGAACTGGAAATAAAGGATACCACAGATACAGTTAGGTCTCCTTGATATCTTGACTCTAGAAATTGACTGATCTGAATTGTGAACATTCCATTTTTATGTAGCAGCATAGATAGATATAAGAAGATGTTGTATGAGTGCCAATGAGACAACTCTCCATCCAAGTCCAAGAGCCTGTTTGTGGAGTATATACAGGTACATGTATCTCCCAGTTGATAACAGATTTCATGATATAGGATTGCTAGTTACAATGAAGCTATAGAACTAATGCTTCCTAACGATATAGTTAAAGTCATCCCTTGGACAGTTTTACGAACGCCTTCATGAATTGGTGAACGTTAAAGAATATCTGCGTCACAAATTATCACGAGTGTGTTCGAATTGTCGTAGCTGCAGTCTAGTCTTCTTTTCCTTGTTTGTATATAATATCGAGAGATGGGGTTTTATAGGTTTTCTCTGTTCCATGAGAACAATCAATTTGGACGAAATGTTTGATGCTTTGAGGGGCTTTTTTATCCAAGAAACTTCAGATCATTTGTCTGTCTTTCAAATTATTCTATAACTAATACAAAAAAAAGGAATTACATAAAATATTGGACAATACAAAAGACCACTTTTTGTTAGTTCGTTTTCCTTGTGAACAATTCAGAAAGGTTGAACTTTAATGAATTTAATATTATGTTTCTTTTGATTTAGAGGTTGTATACTAAACAGTTAAAAAACAAATATCCACATGCATTTCTATTGAAAATTAGGGCGAATGCAGTGTTGTTTTTATGCTTCTTCTAAACGTCAAAATGTTTGATGGCGTTTAATTTACAATTTTAAAGATTTTTAGGGAACACTTGCGTTTTGAATGCGGAGTTGATATTTGACTTGCGTTTTTTAAGGACATATGGATATTTTAAGATAGGTTATGGAAATATGTTTTCTGTAAACGTATTATAAAATTAAAGTTGTATGTACTTGTTTTTGGGTTTTTTTTTTAATTGAAGATTTTTTCTTATTACAAAGACAATGACTACAATATCACTTTTTATCCACACACATATATTTATATAACAATGAAACATATTTTTTTTTCAGATAATACCAATATTGAACAATGCAGAAGATTATCTTAATGTGTCTTTGTGTTTGTATAGTAACTGTTCGTGGCGGAGATGAAGATGACGTAACAGACCTTTGTAACTTGTGTGCTATAGATGGAAATAGTGTGGACTGTTTGATTTGTCGGAGCGCATTAGAAAATGAACCAGACTCAATCGAATATGGAAATATAAGCAAACGTGGATTTCTGCGTCAGACACGTCTGTTTCCATGCCAATGTTGTGCATTCTCACGTCATCAAAACGCGTATTGTTGTGATCAGTGTTACAGGAAATAGGTATACATCATGTCTACGAGATGTACATATCCAGTCCATCATTTATGAAGTTTTAGGACATTTTGTTGTTAGCTGTGATGTGATTTTAGTTTATATGCAGAAATATGGTGTTCTTGTTGTACGACAATATAAATTGTTTCAGTTTAATTTTCAGCCAGCGTACTACAAGAAGTTCACATGACTGTCTTCATTTAGAAATAAGTCGTTGAGGATATTTATTAGAAAAACAAAATAGATTTTTGAATTGCATTATAAGGGAATGTCAAGTAATATATTAGTCATTAGAAAAAAGAATTAGGATATTTTGTAATTTATTTTATTTGTATCATAATTATCATTGACATTTACGGATGTAAAAAGCTTTTAGTTTGAGAGACGGAATAATTCTTCATATCACTCATTATTAATTGTCATATTTACCATCTTCATGAGTGAACGAGACGTAGACAAAGTGGCCTCAGTGTTATTATAAAAATAAGTATGATGCATTAAAATAAATATTTTTGCTGTTATTAAGTGTTTTAATGTTTCAGATGCATTTAATATTCAGTGTTTTTTATCCACTGTCTAGCCATTATTCATTGACCTGAACCAAAAAGAAATAAGAACTGCTTGGAACGTTCATAATTTTCCTACACACTCGGCACAACCTCGTAGGTATTGAAGATCTTCGGATATATTTGACAAATGCTCCTTATGATCTCAGAAACAAAAGAAAGAATGAAACATGATGTATAATATTCCAATCTATCTAAATATCATTCAAAATGTGATTCATGGATGAAGTCTAATGTTATAGGTCATATGAAATGCACTTTAAAAAGTCTGAAAAGACTCCATAATCTGCAGTACTTACCATTGCAAGTACCAGTGCTTCGGAACTGACATGCCGCGATTAATAACATACTATTTCAAAATTCCCCATTGATAAATAAGGAAATTATTAAGAATCTAAGGTTAGAATTCCCGAGGCAATATTGACCTCAGATAAATTTGACAACGCTATGTATGTCTATTGTCGTCATGTAACATTTCTATGTGCTTATACATCCCTGGTTTTTCCCATATTCAGGTTTATATAAAGCGGGAAATTCTTTTAAAAACTAAGGTTACAACTCCCTGAGGCAAAGTTGACCTTAAATAAATGAGTTGTATCACCTTTGAACGATTTTTTAAAAACACGTTTCATCTTAAGGTTGAAAAGACACAACACAGATGTCACTATTTTTCGGGAAAAATTGCATATTTTTACAAGAATTTTACAGAGTTTTGGACAAAACTTTTTTTATAGGAATTGAGTCCGTGACTAGATGTTTTCATGAAACAACTAGAAAAATAGATTTCAATTCACCTAGGTATTTTCCAAACTGCTTTAGAAATGACAAAGATGCGACCCCGTGAAAATGACCAAATTGCAGTTTTAGAAATAGCATGGAAGAAGAGAAATTGCAAAATATATCTATTTTTAACTTTTAATTTATACAATTATGGCCTTCGTGCAAATGTAATATCGAAAAATTCTAAATCGAGGAAATATTATTTTCCTTAGGGTCCGTATAACCGAGGAAAAATAACCTTTTTGAGATTTAATAATTTTGGATGTTAACTTTTCATGAATGCCCTTACTGTATTATTATACTGAACTGAATACAAAGATGTAATCATTGTTTGGAAAAATCTTGAGGCGGCCGCCATATTTTCCAGAAAATAACAAACGATATGACGTTACTAGCTTTGTTCCGAGTAATTTTCGAAATGCGGATATTCCCGATCAGTTATTTTGCCCACACGCATATTCCCAAACAGTTATTTTGCCTACGCGCATATTCCTGAACAGTTATTTTGCATACGCGCAATCTGTCAGGGAAAATGGGGTTATTCTCCCTGAAGGAATGAAAAACTTATAGTAATGTCTTAATTATTTTATTAGTGGTTGATATAGTAAAGTATGATAATACCCCGTAGTTAGTGATGTCTTTGAATTGTGTAGATAGAAAGTCGAATGACAATTAAAATTACTAACCGAAGAACGAACCAAGACAAAACAGAACATTAAAAAAAGAAAAAAAATCCAGTACAAAGGATGACTCGGTATTCGGAAGGGAGCTGACAGGTCTAAAACTGGTATCAGGAGTTATATGTTTCCAAAGTTAATTACAGATATTCAGCTACCATAATAGACTTATTATATTTATAAGTAAAATATTCAGCATCACTGTCAGGAGTAATTTGGAAGTGTTGCTGACATAATAGGACCAAGCCCCGAAAAGACCAACCACACACACATTAACATTTATCAATTGTACAATTTCAACACCAGAAAACACATTCCTACACACATCTGGACCTTTTACTCATGCACGATGGGGTTAAAATGTATCCTAGAAACGGAATCTTACGCTTATTAGTCTATGACTTGATATTGCTTTATTTATTATTTCATTTGGATTCCATTACAGCCTCGATTTTTGGAATAACAAAAGGCGCACAGAAGAACATGCATTAAGACCAGTTTAAAAGCATTTACTAAATATAGATGTTAATGACAGACAACAACAATGTAACAGAAGATAATACTACATAGTACTGTATCAAGGATTACCATCAGGCAAACTCAACGTATACAATCCTGTTCGTCGTATACTCTTGATATAGGCAAACTCAACGTATACAATCCTGGTCGTCGTATACTCTTGATATAGGCAAACTCAACGTATACAATCCTGGTCGTCGTATACTCTTGATATAGGCAAACTCAACGTATACAATCCTGGTCGTCGTATACTCTTGAAATAGGCAAACTCAACGTATACAATCCTGGTCGTCGTATACTCATGATATAGGCAAACTCAAAGTATACAATCCTGGTCGTCGTATACTCTTGATATAGGTAAACTCAAAGTATACAATCCTGGTCGTCGTATACGCTTGATATAGGCAAACTCAAGGTATACAATCCTGGTCGTCGTATACTCTTGATATAGGCAAACTCAAAGTATACAATTATGGTCGTCGTATACTCTTGATATAGGCAAACTCAAAGTATACAATTATGGTCGTCGTATACTCTTGATATAGGCAAACTCAAAGTATACAATCCTGGTCATCGATACTCTTGATATAGGTAAACTCAAAGTATACAATTATGGTCGTCGTATACTCTTGATATAGGCAAACTCAAAGTAGACAATCCTGGTCGTCGTATACTCTTGATATAGGCAAACTCAAAGTATACAATCCTGGTCGTCGTATACTCTTGAAATAGGCAAACTCAAAGTATACAATCCTGGTCGTCGTATACTCTTGATATAGGTAAACTCAAAGTATACAATCCTGGTCGTCGATACTCTTGATATAGGTAAACTCAAAGTATACAATCCTGGTCGTCGTATACTCTTGATATAGGTAAACTCAAAGTATACAATCCTGGTCGTCGATACTCTTGATATAGGTAAACTCAAAGTATACAATCCTGGTCGTCGTATACTCTTGAAATAGGCAAACTCAAAGTATACAATCCTGGTCGTCGTATACTCATGATATAGGCAAACTCAAAGTATACAATCCTGGTCGTCGATACTCTTGATATAGGTAAACTCAAAGTATACAATCATGGTCGTCGTATACTCTTGATATAGGCAAACTCAACGTATACAATCCTGGTCGTCGTATACTTTTGATATAGGCAAACTCAACATATACAATCCTGGTCGTCGTATACTCTTGATATAGGCGACTGTACTTCAGAGTAGATTGCATACAGCAAAGATATGATCAGTGGAAGGAGACACAATCTTAGGCAAAGTTATGATCAGTGGAGGGAGACACAATCTTAGGCAAAGTTATGATCAGTGGAGGGAGACACAATCTTAGGCAAAGTTATGATCAGTGGAGGGAGATACAATCTTAGGCAAAGTTATGATAAGTGGAGGGACACACAATCTTAGGCAAAGATCAGAGTAAATTTCTACAAAATTTCTATACTTAAGACTGAAAGAAACACTTTGAAATCGTTGTAATAAATAAATCCAAAACATTAGATATACAATGACTTATCACCAAAATAAGCCTTTGCATGTACTTTTATTTACTTATGGTAATTTTCTGTTCTACCATATACCATTTCCAACTTTTTGTCTCATGTTCAGCTGCCATGGACATTCTATTTTTTTTAGAAAATGTAGCTAGCCTTATGATATTTACACAAATATTTCTCAATTAAAAACAAATCAGTATAATATAAAACCTTTTTCAATTTATATTCTTATGACAGCCTTACTTTTATCGACTAAGGTCATTTACCTTTTTGAATCTTTTAAATCACATTAACTAAAATTTACTGCGAAGAATCATTGCAATCCGTACAGCAAAACAATGATAAAATCCAATATCAATTTGTCAACAAAATTTCATTAAATACAAGATTGTCAAGATATGAAGCAAAATTGCTGCTATTAATCAGTTGCACAAAAGAAAGATGACAATATTTCATAGTCATTTCTGTATAATGATTATGTTTACTTGTAAAGTTTGTACAGAAAAAGAAATGCTAAGCATAGGGGGAACTGATCTTTGATTTACATCTTCGTAACTGAAGGAGGGTGTCAATTTCGGCTAAAACATAAGAATGATGATTCCACCACTTTTGATAGCCGAGTTGCCACCATTTTTTCCTCCTGTTCCGCTCCCATTGATTGACAAGTAATTATTTGCATGTTTTTATTTATCGATAAACATCCGATACAACTATAACTGAAAACAAATAAGTTATGAACAGGTTACTCTATAACAAATAAAACGACCTTATATTTAGTAGCGAATTCAGGAACACTCTAATAGGTAAAATTAATTAAGTATTACGATAAGGTGGAATCGATTGGGTGCATTACTCCTTCACGCTTAAGTCTGCGTTACTTTCTAGATTAAAAGGACAATAGCTGTCAAATTCATGTTTACCGATTTGACCCAGATTCTCATATTTGATTTATAGCATACTAAAAGGTATATCCAAATTACAAAAAAAGTCTTAAATAAACAATTAAAAGCATGGATTCGATAATATGTATCAGCATTCCGTTTGTATTTTAGTATAGATGCAATCTAATTACCATCGAGATGACCTCCGAAGTCTGCAGACGATCATATAACCCGATATAAACATAAATAGAAATAGAAAAAGATATCGAGCACGTGCAATTGGACTATTATAGGTCTGTTTCATTTCATATTATAGGTTAAAAAAAATGTTAATCATCGTTTTTACCTGTAAAAATGATTTTATTGTGGATTGAATCAGTCAACCAAACGGTTCATCCTTGTTTCACTTTCATTAATGTTGACATTCTTTTCCTTTTAATAGCTGAACACGCCTAGAACATGCGTAGACCATCTCTAACTAAGGGATTAAACTGAAGGACACATGAATACGGATTCAATGAGGTTAAATTATTGACTTGCAAGTCAATAACACATCAGCGATGTTGTAAGCTTATATTTGTAAATTTGGGTCAAA